TAGTGTGTACACGGCATAACCTGTTATCAATCCGACATAACGAAACCCCATAACCATTATCCTTGCCCATAATATAGTTGGCATTTTTTCTCCATCTCAATTGGCAGGCAACCTGGAATAGACAAAAGATTATTTTTTTAAGACGTACTTACCTAACATTTTTTGAAATAGATCTATTTATTGCATCTGTTAAACACGACGGAAAAATAATTCGAATGCTGGAAAAGCATTTTCCAAATACATTTTTCAAAACATTGTTTTTCTCATTATAAACAATGACGCTTTTTGACACCAGACAAATTCGCCACTTTATCAATCTGTCAAGGCGAATATTTTTTTTCGCCTCAACGCAACAAATTTTGACATTAGACTTGAGAGAAACAGCTGATTTTTCGATAAATTCGCCATCTTGGTGACCTTATTTATAGGCCATGATTACGAGTATTCAGTACAGCTATTGTCCAAATTCCCTTCACCGTGGGTTGTGTTGTGATGTTCGGCTTTCATTTGTGGTCTATAGATCGACTTGAAAATAACACAAAAAATTAAGTTTTCGGTCCACTTTATTCCAAAATTATTATCTGATCATTACCGAATATTATAGGCGTTGTCCTTGACCATAACTGGAACCTCATGGAACATTTCAAAGCGATCAGCGCTATAGTTCCGCTCTCTAGAGTGATAAGGGGTACTAAATAATATACGAATACGTTGATATCTGTAAATACTTAGGTGTAACTTCCACATCCGAGCACATACAGCAATATAATTGGTATTAATTTAAAGGTCAACCACTCCTTATGGATATAATATCAACTTCTCGGGCCTATGTCCTTCAGGAGAAGATTTGTAAATCTTGTTCTTTGGACCAATCCTCTTCTCCATGCAAAATTTCACGATGTTCGTGCCATTATTGCAGAGACCACAATCGACGAGAAAAACCGAAAAAAAATTAGTATTTGGTCCATTTCATCCCCTAAATATTAATCGATCTTTCCCAAAAACAATAGGGGTCTTCATTGGCCAGAACCCATCCTACATGCAAAATTTCGTGAAGATTGGTCCATAACTGTGGCCTGTATCGTGTTTACAAATTATAATGGACAGACGGACGGACACACATGTCTAGATCGACTCAGATAGTCGAGATATGACAATCGGTATACTTAATGGTGGGTCTATGGCCAATATTTCGCGGCGTTACAAACTTTTGGGGCTGCACAAAGCTATAATACCCTGACAACATAGTTGTGTAGGGTATAAAGATATATATGAGAAATATCTAAATCTGGAGCGAACATTAGCGGGACAGAAATCGAAAGACTTATAGACATTAAATGGGACGAAAATATGTGGGAGCTATATCTAAATCTGAACCAATTTTTACGAAACTTAAGACACATTAATCTAGGATTAATTCAGTACGCTTTGTCAAACTTGATGCAAAGACATATAGGGACTTCCGTACACCATTAAAAATTAAATCGGACGAAAATATATATGTGGGAGCTATATCTAATCTAAATCTAAAATCAACGAAATTTAAAACACATCATTCTAGGCTTAATTCAGTACGCTAGGGACTTTGGACACCATTTACATCAAATCGGACGAAAATATATATGGGGGCTATATCTAAGTCGGAACCGATTTTTCCCAATTTCAATAGGGTTCGTCCTTGGGCCAAATAGATGAGCTGTGCCAACTTTCATCCAATTCGGATCATAAATGCGACCTGTACTTTGTTTACAATTTAAAATGGACAGACAGTGGACCTATATTCATAGTTTTTAGTACCCTATTATAATTCAATGTACCAAATGTTAGCGAATTTGATTGAAATACGCACTCAAGAATCGCAAAATATCTAAAATTTGAGGTACGCTTACGCTACCCGAAAAAATTGACCCCATATTTATCATTTTTGGTGGAGAGATTTGCTACCCGATAACAACGCAAATCTCCAAACTACAGCGGATTGGAAAATTGGTATCCTATTAGGACCCTATAAAGACCCTATATACCAAATTTCAGCGAATTGAAAAATACGCTTAAAAATATCGAAAGGTATATGGACCGATATAGCCCATCTTTGAACTGGCCTGCCTGCAAACAAAAGACATCTCAATGCAAACATTTGGCTATCTCAATTCGTTTTGAGGCTAGAGTGACAACAGACACACGAACGTACATGCTTAAAATGGGGTCGAATATTAATAATTTTTGTTAGGGAGATTTTTTACCATATACGACTACAAAATTCGATTGAAAAACGCGCACAAGAACCCCAAAATATGAAAAATTGGGGGGTACCCTTATATGGGAGCTATGCCTAAACGTGGCCCAATATTCGAAATTGGCCTGCAGACACAATACGACTCGCAGTGTCACGACCACGGCAAAAAATGGTCAAAACCAAGTACCTCATCATATTTTCGAAAAATGGGTGTGTTTTTCTGATGCTCAAATATTTATTTGAGTGGTGAAAAGTGTGTTATTTAAGGAATAAAAAAAATAGCTGCGGAGTTATTTGACTTTTTTGGTTAGAATCGAATGGTCAAATATTTTATGTATATAATTAAATAATTTATTGAGGGCCAAATAGGAAGGAGAAGATGGATTCAGAACATAGTAATCATACAATATTTTACATAAAATTTGCAATTGTGTGGTAAAAACGTTAGTCAAAGCGGAGATATGGGAGAATTGGTTTTAAAATATAGCTTTAAATAATTTTTCAGTCAGTTCGAAGATTATACTTATTTGTCAAATTATTTAAGGGGACCCCCCCATTCTCGGGGTCAAAATTTTTGTTGATATAATTCGAATCTACACTGATTAAAGAATGTCTCTACAAAATTTGTGAAAATCTCAAGAACTCTTGAAGATATATCAGATTTATTGTGTCCGCATCAAGTGACGGCTGAAGGGCTTCTCAAACTTTAAACGCGTTTTTCTCTAAACATTTTTTTGCGAATGGCGGGCACGATAACTCAAAAACTAATAATCCAATCGGTTCCAAATTTTGCAACGTTTCTCTGGGAGTGTATAGCTCTTATGAACTAGGATAAAGCCAATCGGTGAAGATCTTCCTTATTTTTTAACTTGGTTTTTGGTAAAAAATCCGCGATTTTTCAAAAATATTTTTTCAAAGGGCCACCATTTTCTTAATTTTAGAGCGAAGTCAATAATCCTAGTTCATACGAGAGCCAGACATGTACTCTTTCTAACACCGTTGGAATTTTCGGATTCCGATGTTCCAGTGAGGAGTTATCATGCCCGCCATCAAAAATAAGGACTTTTCTTTAATTACAAAAAACAACAACAAAACAATAACAACATTTTTTTGTAAATTATTTTTCTTCTCTTTTAAATCTTCAAATATATATGTGCAAAGTTACAAACCTTAACAAGCATTGGTATAGATTTACCAGCCCATTGAAAATCTTGAAAAAATAAAATCGAGAATGGGGGGGGTTCCCTTAATGCATAATCTTATAATCTAAATTTAGAGGTCGCACATGAATTACCTTTGTGGAAAGTTCATACAGAAAAATATTAGTTCATCGCATGGGACTTTTGAATTTCACAAGATGCTAGCAAGTCATGCCACAAAATAATTAGTAGCAGACCGAACTTTTGTTAATGCCGAGTCAAATAAGGACTTTAGTTAGTTTTTTTGTACTACAATCCAACCTTTTAGTATCCTTAACAAACAGCCATAAAGTAAAGGCCCGAAATTATAATTATAAATTATAATTATAAAGACAATATTTTATATATAGCCCAAAATAGTAAAATTTTTAAGACCCTTTGTTTGGGAGATATATCAAATCTTGGTCCGATCTTTCCAGTTTTTGGTCAGTTGCTTTATAGGCCTAAGTAAATGGAAATTGCCAATTTTCATTGAATTTGGTTGAATATTAAAGATTTGATAGGTCAAAAAGGATGACATTGTCAAGACCCATAATATGGGAGGTATACCAAATCTTGATCCGATCAATCCAATTTTTCGTCAGTTGCTCTTTAGGCCAATAATAAGCACATGTACCTAATTTCATTAACTTACGATAACTCCTTCTATTTTTGGCCGCTGTTTATATGAACACGCGACATAGTGCGACTCAATGCAAAAATTTGGCAATTCTTTTAGACATCAGAATCATGGATGTTTTAATAAATATTTTTTATGGCTCTGAAAGGAGTCTATTTTTATAACTATTTTTTAAGGCACCGATTGGTGTGGATAAAAAATATAGTTGGTTGACATACAATTTTGCAAAAAGATTGCCGTGACATATGAATAGATTGATAAAAATTGGTTCGTATATGAAGCTGAGGGAGTTCAGAGGACTGGCAATTCTTTATCTCTCTCGCCCACGAATTGACAATTGCCGCGAGGAAAATTGCCTAAAGTAATTTTGGTATTACTAATCATTTAATTAAAAAAGTAAAGAAATACAGCTTTTGTTACTTGTTTATAACAATTCATGAATCAATGGATTCGCCATCAGAAAATATCAAAACTAGTCATACATTTAATGCACTTCCCATAAATACAAATATATCGTGCCCTTAAGTTTGTCGCTAATTCCAGAAAAAAATAAAAAAGAAACAAAACTACATAAATTAACCTTGACAGTCAAAAATTTTCTTACATTAAAAACACTTCACGATCAACAGACTTTTGAATAAGCCGGTAGATGAATTTAAAGCATGAGACACGTTTTCTGCACTATTACAGAAAGTTTTTCATCCGAATTTAGTAGTTCCGGATTAAAAGTATATAATCATGTGTAGATTGATAAATGCTAATTAGTTTAACATTTTAGCTGACGTAGCGAGTAATAAATTTCCCATTTTGTTGGTTGTAATAAATTTCCCATTTGTAAGCTCGTTTGAAGTGTTCCCGCCTCAAACAAAATGATAACCAACAATTACCGATCATTGATCGGAATTCAGTATATTGTGGTTATTTTATTTGTCATTTCAATATTCAGCTGGAAGGTGACTGCTCAGGGCACAAAATACGGTTTATGGACACCGGACAAAGCATGCGAAGACTCCTCAAGTGTGGTCCAATGGACAGGTGGCCAATTTGAATTTCCTTGTGCCTCCACAAAATCGCTGTTCAAAAGTTCCGGAAAATATATTTCGAAAAATGTCATCGCCACAAGGGCTCAAATTATACGTGATACAATTTATTTGGCTCTGCCACGTTATCGCAAAGGTGTACCATCAACATTGGTCAAGACAAATATTCAACCCGGAACCTGTTCGGCTACCTTTACACCCTTTCCCTGTTGGGATATGCAAGAAGAAGGCAATTGCAAGGCGTTGCAATCTGTTGTGGATTTGGTGGTGGATCAAAATGAAGTTATTTGGGTATTGGATACGGGCATTGTTAATACGCTGGAGACACCGGTGCGCAAGTGTCCACCCAAAGTTATGGCGTTATCGGCAAAATCGGGTAAAGTTTTGAAGACGATCGATTTGGATGGCTTGACTTCCCCAAACTCGCGTCTTCAATATTTGGCCGTTGATTATGCTCCGGATGGCAGCTGTTTTGTTTATGTCAGTGATGCTGCCAATCGTGCCATTATCGTCTTTAACATTCAGGCAGATCGTGGTTTCCGTATTGTTCTACCCAAGGCGGTGACTACCGGCTGCAGGTCACGTGATGTTTTGTATATTGCATTGATTCGTCAAGATTGCGGAACGACGGAGCTTTATTTTACATATTTAAGCACAAACCGTTTGTTTTCATTGAAATCGGAATATTTGAGAAGTGGTGTGGCCGATGGACGGATAATAGGTAAGTTTTGGAAATGAAATTTTAGGTGTGTAAAGTGTGTCAGACTTTCTCTGAAAAGACCCTTATTACATACATCATTAAAGGAGGATAATATTCATTTTTTCAATCCACGTATTAACCGTGGAAATAATTCCAATCAGACAGGATATGTTTGAAGAACAGGGGATAAGTTTGTTCACCTATCAGTATATTTGTGTTACTGCCAGGAAAAATCGCAATACCAAACTACAGACTTTTAGGTTGACAAAATGGGTGACCTTTCTGTGTGGTCGAAGAGACTCTAATTTGGCAGTTCGGGGTCTTGAAGGGTTTAAATAATCTTTGTAGAAAATTTTCAACATAGGTTCATTGTTTGGACTTAATTTCCACGTAAACTTCCCTCCCCTTTTTCGGTATTTCGAAGGTTTAGGCAGCATTTTCTCATCGAAGTGGTTGTAATTTAATATTCCGGATTCTTGGTAAAAAATAAACTTCAACTTATTAATATACATACAAAGTTCCTGATTAATTTCCGGTATGTTGAAGATATTTGCTAGAAGGTTTTTAGGCTCTAGGAAAATTAAAATTAATCACCAGTTAGAAAACTATGATCTTCAACATAAGCAGGACCTTTTTATGTGAGCTATGTAAAAACATGGACCTGTATTAACAAGAAATTTATTTTTACCGGGACTTAGTTCAGCCAGTTCGGTAGAAAAGTGCTGCTAAAAACATCGAAATACTGAAAGAGGGAAGGGAAGTTTACGTGGGAGTTAAGACAAAACATGAACCCATATCTAAAATTTTTTGCATAGATCTTTTCCAAAAGATATTTCTTGCTTGGAAATTTCGGTTAAAAACCTATTAGATGCCGAGTATTGGTATTCGGTATAAACCCATGTTTATACATAGGACCCACACAGAGGCCATCCCATTTGTCAACATGAACATCTGTAGTTTGTTAAATACGATTTCTCCTGGCAGCATTTTACAATGGCATATCTTCCATGTACAAGTCCCGATCAATTTTAGGTATTTAAAAGTTCAAACTACAGATCTCAGGTTGTAGAATTGGGTGCCCCTTTTTCTAGGGAGTATATCGAAACATGATCTTATATAAGAAGGTTTTCATGTATGGTGGCTATACCCAAAGATTGACCGATATTTATAATTTTTGGTAGAAATCTACCCAATTCGAATTCAAAATATCAAATATTTGTAATTATTAGTAAGAAAGATTTAACATCCACTGAGAATGGAAAATGTATAATTACATCCAATTATGTAGAAAAACGTGCATAAAATCCTCTAAATACCGAAAATCGGGCCTATAGCAAATCGGGGTCCAATATTGATAAGTTTTGGTAGGTATATTTGCCATACGATGAGTTTATAAAATTCTGTTTGACAAACGTCCCCAAAACCAACAAAATGTCGAATAAAGGAGCGCCGTTATATGGGGCCTACCTCAAAACATTGGACAAATTTTGATACATTATTTCAATGAGAATCTAAAATTTCATATTAGCACCAATTGATTTGAAAAAGTGTTCAAAACACCGAAAATTTGGAGAGACCGTTATATGGGAAATACCCTTAAAAGTGGATCATGATTATCACTTTTTATTTGGTTAATTTCCTACCCAATGAGAACACATTGCCCATTACGAAATTGCATCCCAAAATATTGAATATTGGGTGTACCATTACATAATTGTTATATCAATCCGTGGACCGATATGTCATAATTTCCATATCAAACATCCTAAGATTTCAAAATTCCAAAGCTATATTTTGAGATCTCTATTGCGATTTCATTAATTAAAAACAGTGAGCTGAGCAGTATAGTCGGACGGCTCGATCTTTATCAAAACCGCCATGCTTTTGGCCTGACAAAGGGGTTGCACAAAGCTATAATATCCTGACAAAATAGATATAATCGATCGAGATCCGGAGTCGATAAAAAATTGTTCAATGTAGCTCTCTGTTAGATTATCAATATTATATTTGTGTCTTGTGGCACTCAGCGATGGACACTTACATGGTATATGTTCAATTGTTTCTAGCTCTTCCTCATCCTCAAATAGACGGCATTTATCCACTCCATTGATGTCCCATTTTGAAGTGAGAGATCTTATCCTGCAGTGACCTGTTATGATCCCCACAACGATTTTAATCTCTCTCTTATTATGGGATAACAGGGAAGAAGTTCTACGGCGAGAGAATTCTGGCCAGATGGTTTTCGAAATCCCGCTCCAAGGCTGGGTTGTCCATCTGTTGCCGACTAACTCGTAATAGTTCAAACGAATTCTGCCAATAAAGTAGCTAATAGGCAGTTGTAAAGATTTCTCAATCGGAAGATTGGACGACTGTGAAGCCCCTCGAACATGCTCATCGGCAATCTCATTTTCCCTTCAATGTTACTATGTCCTGGAACCTAATATAATTTAATCATTCGTCGTATATTATGAAGAGTAACCTTGCAGCAACCTTGAGTTAATAGTGCACGACTTTAAAGCCTTATAGGACCGCCTGACCATCGACATATATAGTCACCTGTCCTATGTTATAGGCAGTAAGTGTTTTTACCATATCAGCCGATTTCGTGATTGCCAGGATTTCTGGTTTAACCACGCTGTAAAGATCGTTAAGTTTATACGAGTTATAGACTGCTAGTTCCCTGCAATAAACACCTGCACCAATACATTCCTCCATATTCGTGCGTCTGTAAAAATCGACAGAGGGAGTATAGTCACTGAAGTGAATAGTCACAACCTGGCGTCTGTGAAGGGTGCCTAGATTCAGCGACTTCCAGGCATCAGTTTCCCGGAGCTTCAGATCACATCTAGTAGCTTGGAATTTAATCAGAGAGTCCAGTGGTTGGAGGTTCAAGATTGCATTCAAAGCTGCTTGTGGTGTTTTTCATAGCGCTCCAGCTATCAGAATCGAAGCCGATCGCCGTACTGTATTCCTTTTAGCCAGCAGTATCTTTTTGTTGATCCCTTGCCACCATACAAGGCATCCATATATAAGAATGGGAAGTACAGCCGTCACATACAGTCAGTGTATGATCTCTGGTTTTAATTCTTGCAGGAATAGAGTGCTATTAGTCCTTTCTTAGTGCGTTCTTCAACATTCCTTTTCCGCGTTTCGTCTTGAGAACAAACAAACAAAATACTTTCCCTCATCCTGCAAATGAAAAACGGTATACTATTTCATTTATAAAATAGAATCACAACTTCATCTTGGACTCAATTTAGTTTCCATCAAAATTTAAATCTATTTTACCACACCGATGACTGCGTATTGTCGTATTTCCCAAAGCGATTAAAATCCTCAAACTGTTTTGCAGTTGGTTTTCTCAGAACGATAACAATTATTAAAGTAAAATACCGAAGATTGCTTAACTTTGCTGAAACTATTTTCATTTCTGTGCATAATTTTTCAAAGTGCGAAAAAGAAAAAAAATAATAATAAAGAAAATTGAAACAATTTCTTTTGTCTTTTTTTTCTTGTTGTTTCAATTTTCCGTAATGATTAAAGAAAACTTAAATTGTTTCCTGCATTTTCAAGTAACATGCCAGTTATTCACTATACCATGTACATGGATAAATATACATACTCGTGTGTATGTATGGCCGTTTGTATGTCCTCCGTCTTATGCCATACAATTGGCAATGGACGTCGCTTGAATATTCACTACAAATTGATGAACTTTTCATAATAACAATTTACCAAAGAATTGAAAAATTTAACGGCGAAGTAGGTCAACATATTGATGGGTCTTTTGTAAGCGAATGTGTGGTTATGTCAGTACACGATATGTGCGTGAGTGTGTGTTTGTGTATGTTTGTGTGTTCACATGTAGGTGTTTGTTCTTATTCTAGTGAAGTTGTTGAAGCTATCAAAATTGGTCATCACTTTGGTGAATTATAGTTGCACTTGTTGTGCTATTGCGTTGTTCTATATTTGTTAACTGTTACATACTATATGTATGTATGCATGCAAGAGTGTGTGTGTGTGTGTGTGTGCATGTGTCTAGGTTGTTAATTTACCTTTCGAACCTGTTTCAAAACCATTTTGTATGTTTCTTTACTTTTGTTCCATTTACAGACTTGGGTAAGAAACCATCGCGTATGGTTATAATTGGCACCGATAATGGCTCGGCAATATTTTTCCGCAATGAGGGCGATTCCGAAGTTTTCCGTTGGGATACCAACTCTACATTTACGGAGACAAACTTTAAGCCGGTCTATCGTAGTCCCACCTGTCAATTGGCCACACATGCCGTGCCCGACTACAAACGCAACACAATGCGTGTTCTGCAGAGTAATTTTCCAGATTTTATGCAAAATCGTGTGGGCTGCGGTGCCATCCAACAGTTGTCGATGATGCAGGGGTGTTGGTAGAAGGTTCGAAGTGATAGTGACATATTTATTGAAACATTTACAAAAAATAAAATTAAATTAAGATTATGTTTATTACGATTATTTGTTATTTAAATGTAAATTTATTAATTTTAAATATTTAATTGTGTATTAATGAAATAATGTAACTACATACAAACACTACAACATCACAACATTACATACATATTACATATACACACATTGTTACACAAGACACAACATTAAACAATTGAAACCCATTTTCATAAGACATGCCACAATTATACAATGAACCATTACACACACATTTATACATACATATATAACACTTACACTATACATATATACATACACACACACTCATTTATATACAGTACAGTACCCTAAAGCCAATTATTTTCAACAAATGGTGTCATTACTAACGGAATATTTTATAATTAAGTCGTTTTAATAGTTTTTATTGTTTAATGGTTGAGGTAAAGGGTTTTCGGTAATATTATGTACTCGTTATTATATAGAATTTAATAAAATACTTTTTTTATGAAAAAAAATGAAACATATTCCTTTTCTTTGCTCATTTATATTAGTTTGAAACAATTATTGTTAGGTTTGGGCTAAAAAGTCGCATGTGGAACATACAATCAACTAGTCGACTTGGATTCAAATTGCTCATCGATTGCACTATGTAACAAAATCAAGCTCATGGTCTGGAGGTGGAAAATTTCTTTAGGGAGAATATTAAGAACGGTGATATTTGACATATGTAGATCAAGTTTTTAAGTTATGACTCTTTTGCTGGTAACTCTAAAGTTCAAGACGAAAACGCTTTGCTTTTTTGCGGCTAATGCAGGTTATATTTTGTAAAATATATCCACCTTCCATCTCGAGTCCTTGTCGAAAATACGAGATTTTATGACATCTAAATCCAAAGCCGAACGACTTACTGCATTTTTGAGAGTATGCCAAAAATTTGGCTAATCATATGGACCATTTGAGGCGCATTTGCGGTCAACATTTGCATAAAATTATCATCGAACATTAAAATATATTTATCGTACTATCGATTCAAATAAATATATCAAGCATCCTTCTGAATTTTGTATTTGTGCTCTTGAAAAACTTTCCTATATCTCCTTAAAATCACCCTTTAAATGCGATATGTACGTGGACAGTATCTGGAAGTGTTTTATGCGAGTGCCTGCCCATAGGCCTACCTCGCTGTGGCTGAGCCACAGGCGGATATGCGCCCACCAGCGCACCAGTACCAAAGTGTTGTACCAATTGGAGAGCATGCAGAAGGCATACTCTCCCCCTTGGTGAGGGGCGCAACCACAACCCCCGCGAAGCTCCCCAGGGTGCCACACCAACTGTCAGGCTGGATCAACAGATCCAGGGGCACCTGACACCCGCGGTACGGAAAACCTCCGCGCAGGCTCGAGACCGAAGCCTCTCCCAGTTCGACGCAAGTCGAGGCTAGTATCCCAATGCAAAATACAACAACTTTCAAAAACCGCAGGCGGCAAGGAAAAACCTTGCCCCAAGCAGTGGCGACGTCGAACAAATACACATAACACAAACAATTAACATGCTGTCCTCACGGACTGCACAAAGGGCCCAAAGGACCGCGGCATCGGACATCACAAGACAAACAATCAACGAAACTGCCCTCACGGGCATCCTACACGACATCCACAACCGCAGAAGTGACTTCCTCCCACGATGCGGAGTGACAGCAGAGCACAGCATCCACAACAACTGCAGCTCTCCACACACAACCGCACCACCGCCAACCGGCGCACCAACCCACCACCACCCGGTGCAACCGACCAAATAATATATAATAATATATAATAGATTGGTTCAAATCGGATAGTCCGTGCGCATGATATTATAAATGTAACCAGTGAGCGGCAATATAGTCGGACGGGGCCGACCATACGATACCCTACACAACTTCCATGAAAATCTAACTTTCGGTGTCTATATTCTGAGATTGGGCAATATTTCGCGATATTTGCACACTTTTGACTGGCTAGAGGTCAGCAAATGTTACTAATAATCAGTACAGCCCCTCTAATTATTTGTGTTGTGATGTTCGGCTTTCGACACGAAAAGTACAAATAATTAAGTCCACTTCATCCGAAAAATTATTATCTGATCATCACCTAACATTTTAGGCGTTGTCCTTGACCATGACTGGAACCTCATGGAACATTTCAAAGCGATCAGAGCTATATTTCTGCTCTCCAGTGTGGTAATAGGTTACTAAATAATATATGAATACGTAAACACCTGTAAATATTTAAGTGTAACTCCCGCATCCGAGTACCTACGACTATATAATTGGTATCAATTTAAAGGTCAACCACGAAATTTTGCATGTAGGATAGGTTTTGGCCAATGAAGACCCCTATTGTTTTTGGGAAAGATCGTTTAATATTTAGGGGATGAAATGGACCAAATACAAATTTTTTGTCGGTTTTTCTGAGCGCTCCAGAGGCCACTATAATGTCCCGAACATAGTGAAATTTAGCATGGAGAAGGGGATCGGGCCAAAGAATAAGCATGCCTGTTTTGATAAAGATCGGTCAATATTTAGCAGGTCAAATGGACCCTGACTTTTGTGTGAAAAATTACAAAATTTGTATTCTATAGCGTATATATTTACCCCTGAAGGACATAAACCTGAGAAGTTGATATTTTATCCCAGAGAAGTGGTTGACCTTTAAATTAATACCAATTATATTGTCGTAGGTACTCGGATGCGGGAGTTACATCTAAATATTTACAGGTATCTCCGTATTCGTATATTATTTAGTAACCCATTATCACTCTAGAGAGCGGAACTATAGCGCTAATCGCTTTAAAATGTTCCATGAGGTTCCAGTTATGGTCAAGGACAACGCCTATAATTGTCGGTGATGATCACCGATTTATAGGCCACAAATGAAAGCCGAACATCACAACACAACCCACGGTGAAGGGAATCTGGACAATAGCTGTACTGAATACTCGTAATATTCGGAAAATATGTCAGTGTGAGGAAGAGGAGCTGTTAGAAATATTACGAAGGGAGTATCCCGAGAGTTATCATGCACACCGGCCGGCCAGACAGATGTGTATTTGTAAATCGACTCCAAACATGGGGTCTAAACCCAATATTTCTATGAGGCACATTTTTGCCGTATCAAAGTACCCTCATTAGCCATAAGGCTGTATACTAACTTTTGTGATTAACTGTATATAAGGGAGTTATACATACATCTAAACTGATTTGAGGAAAACTCAATACATGACATTTTAGCCGCATGTCGTAAACTCGTGCTGGAACTCTTAGAACTCTATACACGTCATTACAGAACAAATTCAGTAAGTAGTGTAAAATTTCGTCTTAATTTGACAAAGGTTGGATTTTTGGTGTACTAACGTTATTTTATACCCAATTCGGAACATTGTAAAATATTTCGTGTCAACCATATAAATGTTTGAGCTTTACCGCACCATTTTCAGGAACTCCATAAACCCATATATGCGATTTGGATATAATTTAACACACGTTATCTATACACATTTCGGAACACTGTACATATTTCGTGTCAATAAAACAAATGTTCGATCTTTGGTACACTATTTACATAAAATCGCACGAAATTGTATGTGGTAGCTCTAGTTAAATCTCAACAGATTTGAATAAAAATGCCGTGGAAATCGGACAAACGACGGGTCTTTGGTGCACCATCGTGGAATCGGATAATAAAAATATATATAAGTGTCATATTGAAATCTGAACCAACTGTGCCAAATTTAATCTTTTTCGGATCATAATTGCCTCCTGTACATGGACACATAGGAGCACTTACATAATTCATTTTATTTTCTCAGAAGTATACATAAATCTCGTTTGTTTCCGCATTTGCACAAAAAGACATAATAGTCTTTACCATGGTGTAGTGTACAAAATTGTAATTGAAATGTTTTAACGTTATGTAAAATGTTTTTAATTTCATCTGAAATTCTAAAAGTACAAAATATCTACGAAAATGATGTAGAAGGATTTTTCATATTTTCGTTATGATACATTTTTAATGAATACACCAGATAACATTAATTATTTCCATTACATTGGAGGATGTGTGTAAATATTTCGTAATAAATGATTTTTTCTTATTAGATGTGAATGATTGCTGTACAAATATTCCGCAAAGATCTTATCTCACACCGGTGCTAGTATGAATGAATGAAGAAAAATAAACAGGAAATCGTTTTCCGATTACAAATTCTTTAAAATGTACATATTTACATAATACAACATAACAGTCGGACAATAACATGCCGAACATTCCGTTAACAGTAATTAGTAACAGAAATGTTTCACCCGTAAATGTTAATGCATAGCGCATGTCTGTTCTCAGTTGCCCCACTCTGTTGTTAACATTGGAACAGATTTATTTCTTTCGACAAGAAATTCAGTGGATATTATTTCATAGATTTTCTTTTATTTTTGCAATTTTAACATTCTTTTCCCCTTCGAATTGTGGATGATGTTCTTTGTGCAGAGGTTTATTTACATTTTCTTTAACAGTGGCACGTGCGATAATTTGCAATGCATAAAGCCGGTATTATGGCCACCGACAAATTTTGAATGACATATAAACAGTAATGATTTGCTGTTACCTTATGCTAGGTACCAGAGAATGTGTTTTTGTTTTGTTATAACTTAAAAACTAGGGAACCATTGTATTAAAATTCAACTATTTTGATATTACAGCTACTATTTCGAATAGTAATAGACTTGTAGCCCAAATTCCATATAGCGAGGTTTTATAAATTGCAAAACAAAATAACGTTTCTATAAGGAATTTTCCTCAGTTCATTTGGAATAGAAATTAGAAATTATTGCCAATTTTGTATACTCTCTGTCTTATGTCTACACTATTCTACAGAAAAAAGTGACTCATCGAAATATTGGTTTTAGACCAAATCTGTTTCAAACAATTTGCAGTCGATTTACAAACGTCCGT